AAAAAATTTATAAAAAAAATTAAAATTTCTCGATTTCTTATAACTAAGGCATATGAAATTATATATTTTTACCTTTATTTCCAAGAACATCACTTGAGACCAAAAAGATAAATCGCTTTTAAAAACAAGCTCTGATTCATAGTATGTACAATGATTTTAAGTATAAAAAAATATATTTTGGATTACAGTAAAATCTTTGCGTAGGCTGAATCCTTGCGAGTTTCCATATAAGCTTTAATTGAATAATACATAATTTAATAAGTTATCTTCTCGGTAGAAATTGTGAAGGTCTATTTACAATATATGATACAATATAAATAAATTTGTTACACAACTTTCACTGGAACATTACAGACTACCTTAACTAAAGACTGCTTGCAGTTCTGCCCGGCAGTAGATTTTGATTTAGTTAACACGTCCCTCGTTTCGTATGAAAGTGATATTCATAGTATACTTATTACTTGTAGTAACATTTACACTACAGATAAGCCCCATTAAAATCCATATACCTACTAGTTACTATCGAGCAGTCTCATTAAACAGACAAGCAGACGTAAATTCTAAACAGTAAGTAGTATATGGCTTCTATGACATCCTTAAACGTCTCCATAATCACCTGTAACAATTTTGTTAAATTATATAGCATGTCTTACGAGAGACCCAAAAAAAAAACAGAATAATATGTAATTATTATCAGCCGTCCACTGCTAAACATCCTGCCCTAGTAGTGAGTGCCAAGCATCGTGGTCTTGGGCATTTCGAATTCATCCGTTGCCGTACATCGTGCTGTAGTCTTAATACGCGGTTTCAAATCAAATCAAAATATACTTTATACAAATGGACTTTTACAAGCACTTTTTAATTGTCAATTTTACATTTTTTTAATTTAAATTAAATGTCAGTGCAGTCAGTCCGTGAAGAATCTACCACCGGCTCGGAAAGGCAGTACTACTGAGAAGAACCGGCGAGAAACTCAACAGTAGTTTTCACTTTGACATGTCGTTGGCTCACAATTACAAGGTTCTATGTTACAATTTTAGTACTTATTTAGTGATTAATGCTACAAGGTTCTATGTGTCATTAGCTACAGTTTTTCAACAAACCACTAGATAGCGGCACTTTAACTACAAAATATTCAATTTTACATAGTTCTATGTTGTTTTTTTAAGATAACAAAATAACGAAGTTCTATGTAAAAATTACTAAACTTCATTAAAATTAACATAGAACCTTGTAATAGTTAGCCAACGAATTGTGTTAGACCCTTCGAACATAATATGTTCTTACATATGTCATATGTGGAGATAAGGCCGGCGCACTCTCAGTTCAGCGTATTAATTCTGCAATATCGGGTTACTTTAGCTCCCTGCCGAACGACTTCATTTCGAACTGTACAAGCCAAATAAACACCTGTATTTCGCGTTCCATTGCTCGCTGAGCGACCTCGAATTTATGGACCACGTCTACTATGAGTATAATAATAATAAGTGAATGAGAATGATATGGAATTCATTCATATTTTTTTGGACACTGTTAAAGATAAATTATAATACTAGCGATATCAATCAATTTTTAAATCTGCATTTGCCTTTTAATATTACAAGATTTCATGTATCAGTATACTAGATTCACAATTTCGACCTTCATAAATAGGCCTTGGTAAATAATTAATTTTATTGTACTCTGGTCCATAGTTTTAGTGCCAGTATTTTGGTTTGGTTAAAAAAGGATGTAATAAATTTTGTTGTGTAAGGTACGCGATATTTACATCAGTTATGAATCGATTTTAATTATTCTTTAGGCATTCATATAAATTTCAAATACATCTACCCTTAATAGTTATATTAATTTTGTGTGATGTTGAAGTCAGTGTTCTTTTTTATTTTATTTATTTATATTTCAAAACTTATTTTCGAGCGAAGGCTCCCCTTTGAGCGAATACAAACATGTAATGCAGGTTGCAAAAGTATACGATGATTTATTTTGCGATTGCTAAAAAAACATGCTACTCAGTTATTCTAAAAAATGAAAAATATTTACAGATAAATGGTAAAAAAATATTTTCAATTATATTTCATAGGGCTTTTTGTCAAAGAACTTAAAATAAATCCTTCTAAATAGTTTATTTAAAATTATTAAATAGTTAATATGTTATATATTTGTTTATTTTTTAAATGCTAAAAGTATTATTGCATTAGTTTCAAAAATTACCTCCTTAATTCCAATTTATAAGCGTTTCTCTCTATATAATATTATTAGTGTCTATGTATGTATATGCCATCAAGCGTCTACTGTGGCGAAACAGAAAATAATTTACAAAAATAAAAACCCAAACAAACAGCGAACTAAAAAGATGAGAACAAGTTGACAGTCGGTTAGCCGTTTAGTAATTGCGAAGGAACATAGGGTCGGACATACATGACCAAAAAAAACAAAAGGTCAAATACGTACATATAACTTTTCTTTGCGCTTCGCCGTAGTCGAATAAAAATATCTCTTAAGAATAACTCGAGCAAGTGTGTTCAGTTTTTTAACTAGTAATAGAACGATCTAAACAGAAAAATTGTCCCGAAATCTTAAGACATTATATTTCAATTTTATTTATAAACATTTAATATAAATATGAAAACAACAAAACTGACATCGAAAACTTTTAAAAGATATTGGTGTATAGTTTACTTTAGTATGTGTCGGAAATATTTCAAATAATCACTTACAAATTTAATCCATTACCTATAAAATTCGAGAGTAGCCAGTGATTCCGGAATTGAGCAGTTGGTCACACCTTACCTTTCAACTGTTTTAACAAGCCATTTTCAGCTTTATGGCTTGGATATAAATGTTATATTAACAGCAATAAGTTCACACATTTTGTATATACTTGCCCCGGCGGATGTCGACGACAGTTACCTTATTTGGAATCGCTCCAGACTCGGGGGCAAACTTTTATGTTATTTCAATGTGGTTGAAGCGGAAGAACTGTTTTTCTATGACCGATTTGCAGGTAAATTTAGTGGATCAGATTTTGTTGTGTTATAAGAAGTTGTTACAAGTGTATACTTTCGTTAATGTTAAATATACTTTCGTTAAGTTTTAATGGAGCGGAGGTCGAGGTTTTAAATATGGCATAGTTACATTGGAATTGTTCCCGTTCATATTGAGACAATGGATTGCGTTGAAAAGTAATTATATACTTAATAGGTTTATTAAATTTAAAAGAAATCTAGATTTTTCTCCTTGTAATCGGCTTCTTTGGATTCCTGCTCAAAGGGCCTGATAGCCGGACATCCTCAGCGCTGGATTTACACTAGGGGCACTCGGGGCTAGTGCCCAGGGCGGCAAAAATCGGAAGGTGGTAAAAAAAATCTTTTTCATAAATTATTTTATTTACATTTTTCAAAAAAATATAATAAAAAAAAACTTTATCAAAACTTTACCCATTTTTTGCAAAATTTCGTTAATAGGGCGGTATTTTTTCCTATGCCCAGGGGCGGCGCTAAGGTTGAATCCGGTCCTGAACATCCTCATTAATAATAAACATATGTAAATTTTTAATTAAAAAAAAACTGTTTACTGGAAACTTACCCTCGCTTTGCTCGGGTCCGTCCCTAGGTCCCTTTTGTAGGTTATCAAAATTGGTTGACATAAATTAAAGTTATTATGATTTCTAACACTAAACGCATTTATATCGCTATAAAAATTGCCTATAGCTCGATAGTAATGGAGCTTCCTATTAGTGAAAAAATTTTTAGAATCGAACCAGTGGCTTCCTTATAAACTTACGAATTTTACCACTTTATAATATTAATATAGATTACTCTAACTTCAAAATAGGAAGGGATTTGTATTTTTATATTAAACACCTGCAGAAGTTGATTGACATATATAGGTAATATCAATATATAAAATAATATCAAATTTCTTCTAAGGTTTGAACAAGTCAAGATCTACTTATAAAGGTAATTATCATAAGTGGCCGTACTGGGAGTTTACGCCATACAAATTTGTAATGTATTAAAATTTTAGATTGAACCGCATCTGACTGATCAGCTAGAATATAAATAAAATGAAACATCGAATATTTCGACATTAAAAATACTTTTTTCTATAGACATCAAATAATCTTAGTATAAAAGAAGCGATAAATATAATAATAAAAAAAGTTAGCACAAACTATTCTGTACGTGAGCCAGATATGCCCAAAAGTATTCGACCACGAATTGGCGGATAAAAAAACTGTGCCGAAAATTATGTAGTTTCGCTCTCTATCCTTTCTAGTTTAACCGCGTCACGTCCCTGTAAAGGTTCTTTTTAGAAAGTTGGTCGGAGGCCAATTAAGCCAACAGGCGCCGACGTCCGCTCTTCCTGCGTTCGCCACCGTTAAATCGTTTTCTCCCAAGCTTTGTTGAGTTAAGCTAGTTATCGTGCCATCTTTCTGGCTATTCACAATAACAAAACAATTACTGTAAAATCAAGATTTATTTCCAAAATATCTAAATATTTTCCTAAAATTTTGCAACGTATCGCTTAAAAATTTTATATTTCTCTCCAGTCATCAATTTAATTATGTTTTTGTTGCATTTAAAAATTAATATACGCAATAATATTATTCTTATTGGTAATAATTTTTAAGACTATCTTTTACAAATGCAAAAAGAAAAATACGCTTATAGTTTAACGTACGCGTAACGAAGTAGCTTACAAGTTACAGCTGTTCTCAAGTTGTCCGATATAATCGAACTTGATTTGCGTTCGGATACCTTTAGTTCTTGTATCGAGATTAAAACTTAGTAACATATTCTCATACCACCTGTATGGTAATTCCCGTATGACATTCTGTGAAAAAATATCGGGTCAATGCTCCAAAACTAACAATGGAGATGGCGCTTAATTTCATAATATATCTTTCGTTGCAGTTCAAAAGTTCCGGAAAACTTATAGGGATAATAATAACTGTAGACCTATTTGGCAATAGAATACATCGTAACAGTCGTAAGTTATTTGGGTGAGGAAAAGAGGCAAAGGAGATAAGGCTCTACGCAGTGCAGCAGGCGGGATCGCATTGCGTCGGGCAAGGCGGCGCCGTCGACTTGGCAGAGCTCTCGGTCAACGTCCTCGCTACCATAAAAGCCTCCAAAAGCTTGAGCCAAAACAATTTTACCAAATTTCTTGCCAGTGCCCCAACACACATTTACGATCTTCCTTTACTCTCGTTTAACACTTTATTTTATTTATATTATATATCTGTTTATATTTTAGTGGAATTAAATGCGTTCTGGTAATTGTAACGATGTAAGCTCAAATGAGAGCTAAATTTTACTTATATATAATCTAAACCATAAATTTAATCTTTGTTATTTAATATATTGTTACACAATCAGTGTATAGTTTAGTAAGCTTTTTAAATTTGTCTATAATTATTTTATCTAAATTATTTATTTATTATTTCTTGTTTATGTAAAATAAATAATTTTTAAAATGATTAAACTAATTCTAAAAATAAAATTACACTATATCCTTTGTGACATTTTAATACAATTAATTAAATCCGAACATTATATGAATTTATTTCAGTAAATTGATCAAAACACATTTAAATTTAAATTTTAATTAATTAATTTTATTCTCAAAGCCATTTGCACTTTGTGCATTTACAAATAGATGGTTCACAAAATTTATTTCCACTTAATAGTAATTGGCCTCCATTTTATTAATTAAATTAAACTAGAATCATTTTAAAGAAATATAAATTTATTATCACAATTCATAAATAAGTTTCTAAATTCGATTCATCTAAGTGCTTAAAATTAAAGTATAAATTAACATTTTATTCTAAATGAGACACGATATTCCTTTGAAATGGGAACTTACACTTCTGTCTTGTTATCCAAGTTTGTACAAAGATTCGAGTCTAAAATAGTTAATGAATAATAATTTTGTCCTTCAAAGTAGAATTAACGGATGTTCAAAATAATTTTCCTAAATAATTTAGGTAAAACCGTATAGAAATGCCACAGTCGTGACAGAATTTTATTCGTGACTTATGTGTTACTGTTATACATAAGTTTGTCGCGTCGCTTTACGAGTATACATCGTCTACTTATTTCAAAATACTGATTTGTATGAGGAAATTGTTAGGAAATATTTCATGAGTTTCTATATGAGGGGAAATTTTTCTAGTTGACCTTTTCTAGTACCCATTTTCCGGAGTAAGGAGTCTCTAACCTCCTCACTTTTGGACGGAAACCGTTTTCATCGGCGGTATAGTCCACTCTGTACATAAAACCATCAGGTCCGATGTATTCATAAAATCCTTGTGATGCAATTCCTTCATCGATTGTGTTTGGGTTCTTCAGTACGGCGTTCTCCTTCGCACGAATTTTGTTTTCAGTTTCGAAACTAGAATAAAATAAAGTAAAATTCATTTATCGTCATTTTAAATGTCGGTTATATATAAACACAATCTATTAATATACGTAGATAATTTAGAGTAATGATATGCATGACATGCCAGTAAAAGAAATAAATCAACAAAGATGGTTTGAACTCTGACCGCGACATTGTATCAAAATTGTATAGTGGTCAAGGCTAGATTTCTGGTTAAAACGATAGAAATATTCTGTTAATTATTTGGCTATTATTAAAATTTTAAGTATTTTATGAAAATTTTATTAATGTAAATGACAAGAAAGCTCTGATCGTAGATTAATTACACAATGCTAATTTAATATCGTCCTTGAATAACAACTGTCATAATTTTAAGTCACTTCTGCTTTACTGAAATCATTAAATTTATCTAACTGTCAAATTCCAAGAGAAGAATTAGCATAACGGCTCATCTCAGCTATCTTATATGCAAATATCATGGATAAGTCCAATTAAACTATGCAAGGCCGACATTGTTTAGGCGGCGGCGTGTTATATATTATTCTTATATATTACATACTTTATATGTAACTATTTAGTCATGGTGTTAATAGATTTACGTCTTCTAAATGTCATACGTCATGTGAGGTCATAAGGAAGTAGAAGATTCCAGTTATGCGAGCATATTTTTTTGTGTCTTTTTGTATCATAAAGCTCATCATGACTTACTTTTTATACAGCTGTTATCAGATATATAAGTCATGCTTGGGAATTTTGCTTTGTGTTTATATTTTTGAAGTTATACTTCTTTTGGCTAGTTTGAAAAAAATATGAGAGTAAATTTTTTACGATGCCGACAGCCAAAAAAGCGACATTATACGGGATGAAATCTTTAGTTACTTTTGTTCTGTTACGCCAAAGAAGTATAACTTCTCGTATATATCGTTTACTAGCGATCTAGTTGCCTAATAGTAGTCTATGTGTTCCTCCAAGTCATAGCGTATCTATATTTTAAATTTAATCCAAATCAGTCCAGTCGTTTAGCGTGAATGAAAACAAACATACATTTTGGTTTACTTACACAAAATCATATTTATCCTCATCGTAATGGTGTTTCTGGTTAATAATCTTGATTCCATTGTTCTTATAATAGCCGTCTTTATAGAAAGGATTGTATTCCTGTGGCGGCTTCAGCACATGCTTGTATATATCTTGTGAAGCTGCTTCCACGTAAGGCTCGTAATCGTGTGCATATGGTCCGTATCCTCCATCATAGGGGTTGTCTAAATGGATGTACGGGTTTGGTATATGTATATATTTGCCTTCGTCTGTCGGTATATATCTGAAAAAAAAATTACCTTATATGAGTATTACTTACCAGAGATTAATGGCTAAAGTGGTAATATTATAGCTTAAATAAAGTTCGTTTATCGTGATAAGTAAAATGTTTATTTAATCAATAGATATAACTATCTTAATTCAAATATCGATAGTGGATTTTAAATTTAATACGCTCTATCCTTTCGCTTTTTTTATTAATTTTGCTACTTAGTATGAGATGCCTTACAAATGTTATTCATTAAATTTTTTTTAATGCATCCTAAGTCCTATGAGACTAGCGCTAAAGTAACAATGTAATATAATACTTTCTAGAAAAAGCTCGCTTTTATTTTATACTTTTTAACATAAATAGAGCTAATATTATTGGTGTAAAATATAAATTAAAAAAGTAAATGTCTACTTTAATTCATCAATATTCCAAATTGTATTAAAGTTTATTAAAATATGATTATTATGTGTATTATAGTAAAATTTGGTAAAATAACTATAATTAAAAATATATTTTAAATAACAAGAGTCATTAAACGTTTAGTTTGAAATTAAAAAAAAATTAAAATTAATTTTTAATCCAATTTTTTAATCTTGGATATATTTAATTGGAGTGTATATTTTTTTTGTTTGTATGTAACTTTGAACCAATTTTCGTGGTTGTTTATTTGAATTATAGCTTAAGTATACTACATGGCAGTCAACACACCGGTTACTTTTAAAGTTAATGCAGGTATAGTTTAAGTTAATAAATAATGGTAATAATTTCTAAAATAGAATTAAATGTACAAATGAATTCAATTTCATTGTCCTGTACCATCGGTTTTTGCAATATTATATCTAATTATATTAATATGCATTATTCGTATAGAATGGATAAACATGGAAGTTCTTGTGAGAACATTTAGCATTCATTATAATACCTAAAGGGCATTAATAAACAGGTGATATTTACTTACTTGCCGTCATCGCCATATTTATAGGGATCCCATCTGCCGTCTTCTATAGGTGAGGCGATAGCTGCGCATACGCAGAATGCAATAACGAACTGTAACAATCATAATAATATAAATTATTTTTAATTTTAATAAAAACATGTTTCAGATTTCATATTTATAAATTGGGTCATTTAAAAAGAAATTGAAAAAATATTTTTAGGTGAACTAAAAATAAAAGAAATAATATTTATGTTAAAAAATATATAAAAATTAAATATAATACCAAAAATAATTTGCCTATTGAAAATTAAAGTGTAAAATAAAAATTATACCGCAAAAGACTTCATCCTGAATGCACTAAAATTCCAAAAAAAAAAAAATTAACACTTTTACGTAATAGATCAATCACTGCACTGCAACTTGGGATCACTATGCGGAAATCTATCCACTCGTATTCTCCTTAGAGGATTTCAAAACATTATGTTGATTTCGAAATCGGCGTTCGCTTTTATACATTTGCTACATCAGCTCATCTCTTCACGAGAGCTTACACACACACGCGTGTCACCCTCGTCTTACACGCACGCACACATCCATTCAACACCTATACTTTATCTGCATACCATTGTTGTACATAACTTTATAGTTGTATCGGTGTCATATGGAGTACATGACACCATACTAAGGTGTTATTATTTCCGTTTGTGGGGGTGTGGTTACCTTCCAACCACGCATACCTGCTTATTTACGATAGCCTCTCACAGATCACTGTATTTTTGGAAACACAACACAACATTTTTTTTTATTTATTGTTCATGGAGTTTTAAGCAAAAGTATCATATTTTTGCAAAGGAATTCAGGTATATAGAATATACATATAACACGTAACATGGCTTACAATTTTGAATTAACTGGTAATTATAACATCAATAGTCATCTATACGTATAATAAATTACTAAGTCAAATCTGTTCAATAAATATTTTTTGGAAAATATTATTGAAATAGTCATAAAATAGTAATTATCGATATAGAGGCCGAAGTTTTTAGAATTTTTGTCTCTCTGCTGTCTGGGAACGCATCTCGAGTAAGACACTGGACAGATTTTGATGAAATATGGTATGATGATAGCTGGTTATCCGGGTCAACATGTAGGATACTTTTTACTGCGGGAAAATGTCTCATCTCTAAGAAATCTATATTAGGCGTTAAAATGTAACTAGTTACAAAATCATGCGAAGTGGAGTCCCTAGTTTTAGTTATAAAATTGTACATTTACTGTAAAATTTTACACATTAAGAAAGGACTTTCCAAAATATATTTTATTATATCCAAGTAATAAAAATCACTTAAGATTCGAGGCAAGTTACTAAATCTTAAGAGAAATTTTCTATGATGTGACAAATATAATAATCGTGTAGTAAAAAGCTGTGAAAATAGCAAACTTTATGGAACCAACAAAATTTATTACAACCTTCTTAAACGCTTTCTGAATTCTTCTATGGCTTGACCTTGCAAAATATAATACTATTGGAAAACCTCATCTTTGTGACAAGCTTTATACAAGTTTTATATGCTTTCCATAACATTAGACATCAGATTGTTATCGCATAATTTAATCATTATTTTAATTACCTTACTTATGAAATTTACTCATTATTTTTATTACCTTACTAACGACATATTTATACAATTAATTTATAATTTTAGTTAAATAACATCTACGTAGTATGTGCCCTTTAAATTTTGCGGCGCCAAAATGTATAAGTATTCTTGAAATCAATATTAAACACCTTAACTCCATTAATCGTTCAAATTAATTACCATTTTTTTTATCTTTAATTAATTATTTTAAATAAAACTATCTTTTCGGATTTTTTCGCGGATTTATTTCGATTTTTGGTTCCCGACGTTTCATATGCTTTACAGCAATCATGGTCATGGGAGAGTCTCTCCCGTAACCAATCTAAGAAAGTATTATTTAATTAATTAATTTTTTTATTATTTTTATAGCTAAAATATATTTTTAATCTTTTTATTGTTTTGGTTACATTTTTGTTTTCGTGAATTGAGGAAATTATAGTTAGCTAATTAGCGAAGACAAACAATTATTATCATAACAATAAATTATGTTTAAAGATAAAATAGTATCCGCTACCGTTTTGCGTATTTATTCCAAACGCTTATCTACAGTTCATTATACAAGGAATATTAATGAATCACTTTGGGTTTATTAGCAAATATTGATATTATTTAGAATTCCGTTGTTATATTATGTTATTTGTCACAAAATTGTTTAAACTAAGTAAATATTTTTTAATTTCTAGGAAGTTTCCATATTGCGAATTTATTATGACGCATCTCGTTGGCGCCTCCTGGCGGACGCGGCGATAAACATTAAATATTATAGTTTATTATAACGTAAATGAAAGCATTATGGCAAACTATACCTGGAATTCTTGAATCAAATGCGTATGAGTTGTATAAAAGAATTTCTAATGATGTTAGAGCCGGATATTCCCATTTGAATTCCCATTGTGTTGTAACAAATATAAAAGCGTGTTTTAGGTATATTCTAAAGTCTATGGGATTCGATAGTGTTTTTTGTATAGCGATAATTTAAGAGCGGAGAGTGACAGGTTTATTATTTCCACGTGCGTTATGAGATATTAGTTTTTGTTTTTAATTAAATCTATAAAAGGTCACGAAGGTCATATGTAAAGGCTGAGTGAAGCAAAAACAAATGACTATAAATCATATTGATCATGCATTTCTCTATTTTGACCCGTTATTTATAGAGTTAAAAGCTTTTTGATTGTTGCATCTTGTGCTTAGTAAATAGAAGTGGATCAGATTATGGAACGTGAGACCGAATAAATAACATTTAGAAGTTTTTGCCATTCCTAAATATCATACAAAATCATACGTCTAATATAGACACCTAAAAACAACACAAATTTTGAACTAAAATGACCCAAATCGTATACAATATAACTTGATAATTTTTATATTTTTTTCTATTCACATTTAATCACCAATCAACTTATTTACGAAAGACTTATAGACATATAAGCCTTAGAAATTCTCCTTATTTTTTTCTATATATTGTCTCACATTTCAATAAAGGCCTATCAAAATACAACAGATATGGCGATCGGAAAAAACTTGACCGGATCACAGTACAATTAAAGTGACCTACTGTAAATCATCAGTTCTCTTGACATTACCGTTGTACTTTTTGCCGATAGCTTATAAACGTTATTGATTGATTTAGGACGTAAGATGAATAGATCTTAATTTGCCAATAGAATAAAAATAAATTTCGGCCATCGCATGTCGGATTCGCACACCTTGTATTCCTTATATATGTATAATATATTTTTGTTATGTATGTAACAGTAAGAAGGTATTTTAAATTCATTTTATTAATTATATATTAAGCATATTTTTTTATGATTTTCACCTAATATGATAGCCTACCACCAATTGGTAAAAAAACCTCAATCCTGAAAAAAATGGTGTTTATAAATTTGTTTCATCTCATCTATACTAATATTATAAAGAGGTAAAGTTTGTGAGTTTGAGAGTTTGGGACGTTGTAGGGCGTAATATCTGGATCTACTAAACCGATTTAGATGAAATTTGGTAAGATAGTTTGAGACTCTGGGAAGGACATAGGATATTTTTATCATCATGGTCATAGGAAATCTCTTAAGGGGGGAAAATGGGGATGAAAGTTTGTATGGGAAATCAAGCTAGGTACGAACCCGAGCGAAGCGAGGGTGAGTTCCTAGTTCTTTAAATAAAATTATAAATTTCTATAAGACTCTTACGTGCTAGAGAAACCCGTCTTGGGGCTTTTGCCGGCCGTCATTGAAACAAGTCGCGCTGTTGGGACGCTGTAGGACGCCTACACTTCAACCCTTATTAATAGGGTCGTAATCCAACCTCTAGGAAACAAGACCCTAAAATATTATATGAAACTTAACAACCGAACTATCATACGTCATTGCAATATAATATTCTGGCGGTAATATTAATTGATGGCGGCTTTATTTTAGACATTAATAGGCACTTGTAATCGAGGTTGAGTTTTCTAGAAATTTTATTTAGATCAATAAAATATTATAAATAAAATTATATGTGTATACTAAATTAAAAATGAATAAATACTGTGTCGTTAACTTTAATTCAGATATTGTTTCAATATTAGTTTAATATTTAAAACTAGCGACTCACCCTCGCTTCGCTCGGGTTCGTCCCTAGGTACGTTTTAATTTTTTTGAGCGGAACCCTAATTCTTTTTCTAAAATAAAAGTAGCTATCTTACTTCTTATAATATCAGCCATCTACCATGAAAGTCCCGTCAAATTCAGTTCAGCCGTTTCGAATCGGAGATTAGCCGGAACAAACAGACACAGACAGACAAACAAAAAATTTAAAAATTGTGTTTTTCTTATTACCGTATATAATTTCATATTATGCGTTTAGTAAAAAGCTGTTATTTTGACATTACAAACAGACACTTAAATTTTATTTATCTGTATAGAGAAGATGAGTTTCATATAGATCTAAAATTTAGATCACATCATTTTAATAATTGTTTTAATTTTTAATGCAAAGGTTTCTTTTTTAATAGATCTTTCACTTAATTGTTAATTAGCAAAAAAATGTAGGAGCTTTTATGTATAAAGATAGTTTATGGGTTCTATAATAATATATACGACTATTTATTCGGCGCATTAAATATTCCCATACGATATTAACCTGTTGCAAATAGTAACCGACGCGACAGCAGCCCGAGAGCTAGTTTTGTTTTAAATATTTTTACCGCCTTCAAAAAAGAGGTACTATATCGGTGTATATTTTTGTTTTCGATTTTCATGATGAGTAGGTTAAATTTTAAAGGTCCCATATTATATCCCATATTATAAAATTTACGAAAAAGAATCCATCCTTAGTAGAGGAAAAGGTTTCGTTAATAAGCGCAAGTTCAAAGTTTTTGTTAGATTTACTTACTGTATGATCTTTTTTCTGATTTTCTTAAAAGCAGAGACCACCCCGACTTCTACTATAATAGATAACAATTTAAACTAGCAAAATCGATCCATCTCCAAAAATCAGTGAACATACAAAAAACATACATCTGTATGTACAGATGAACACAAGATATACTCCTTTTTGGAAGTCGGTTAAAAACTAATTATTATCAGAATTCCAGTGTTTAGTATAGAAACTATTAAAAAAGTTTAAAACATGCACTTACTTGGCCAATTAATATTGGGTAATCCTAACTGAATATTTTAAATGTTTCTACAACAAGTAATTTTAATATTCTATGAATTGTA